TATACAGAGCCACGTAGTGATTTACCCAGTGAGAAAAAGATTTTCATGTACGATTACCTCCTCTTTATTTGTGCATTTATGATTTTTTTTCAGAAATTCTTATGTAGCTGCTACTGCTACTCAAATTGCCATGGTTTTTAAAGAGAATAATGCTTATTGATAGTTCCCACATGCACTGGCAGGCACATCTAAAACCTGTACTTTTGTGTTCACAGCTTGCATAATATAAAATTTAGAGATTGCTCGTCAAACTAAGTGTCAGCTGAGTTTCCTAGGAAACTCACTGAAGATATTTATAAAACTACAGATCATCTTAATAATAGATATAATAATGTCAGTAGCTCATGATTTTTTAACTTTATCAGTCAATTTTTCTTTGCTTTAATTTGTTGGCAAACCAAACCACTGCATTTCCAAACAGAGCAGTAAAGGCCTTCTTTCCAATATCTTGTCTAATTTATTTAAAAAAAAAAAAAAAGTATTTTGTACTCTTCCATGTAAGGAAATGTAAAACACCCTGCCGTAAAATTAAGAAGAACCTAAATGTTGTACTAATTATCAGACTGAATCCTTTATAAATAAAACCACAGTTTTTAAGTAGAAATATAAATATTATATCATGTGTTATAGTTTTATTCACAGTTGAGTTGAATGCGTGAGTTTAAAGTTCATTGTATATGCATGCAAAGCAGTCACTGCAGAATTAACATAAATCCTGAGTATGGGTTTCTGTAGAAGCTGCATAAATAGAAGACCTGTCAGTATTGTAAAAAGATAGAATTCTGTGAAAACAATTCTATCCTTGAGCTGAGAAAAACAGGATCTAAAAAGAGAGAAAAAATGATACTGGTGTCCGTTTTTATTCATTTTTCTGCTATTGTGTTTTCTTCACACTAATTCTTTGAGTGGAGACAGGAGCGTTGCCACAGTTAGGAGATACCTTCGTACTTTAAGCGCTTTAAATTGAAATTTTAGTCATGTAAATTTTAAAATTGTCGGTGTGTATATGTACGTATATGTATAAAAGAATGTATATCATGCCAGAACATAATTATTAGAGGCATTTAAGATTAGTAGAAATTAACATTCTTTAGAAAGCGATTTAGAAAAGTGATTCCCATATTAATAAAGTAATGAGAATGAAGTTAACGTATTTAGCAATGAGGCAGTACTGACTCCTTATCTCATCTGGAATCCATTGCTGGTACCTACTATGTACATTTGCCTGTCAGAGCTATTTTTTGATACTGTACTAATTAGCTAAGTATTCATGCCTAGCTTATATGAAGGATATTCAAAATCTGATTTTCTTTCAAAAAAGTAACAGTATAGGTTTTTTTGTTTCAGGGTCTAGAAACCACAGCGAACATTTAATGTAGTTGCGAAAAATCTTAGGAAGCCTGTCCTTCATGCACTGAGAAGGTTCATTTTCTGTAAAGCTATGAAATTTAGACAAATCCTAATAGTAGTTGCGCGTTGATTTGTTGGATGCTAGTGATATCATTGCGGCTTGATACAGCGGGGTAGCAAGTAAAACCTTGTAAATCGTGTTTTAATGTAGATCACATGTGGCCAGCAACCTTACGAGCATAAAACGTTACAGCTGCTATGTCGAGTGATATTTTTTTTTAAGCGCATGATATTTGTCAGAGCTCACGCTCTCTTAACTGCAGTGTTGCAGTTTGAGGGTGTTTGAAACGGATCCTTTTACAGGGAGGAGGCTGACAGTTTCTAAATGGAAGACGACTTGGGCTGATACGTAGGACATCTAATGAGGAGATTTATCTCATTCCCAACCCTGCCATGGATTATTTGTAGTGTAACTCTGCAATATTCATGCCTCTGTTCCTTACCATAATTTGCCTGTTTGGAAAATGCAGATGCTAACAACCAGTAACCTTCCTGAAGTTCTTGTTGTATAGGTGAGAGAGATGTGAACCGGTACTATATTTAATCATTTCGGACAAATTCTGCTAGCATGACCTCGGGATTGGGGAGACAAGCTGTATCCTCTCCCGATTTGTACATCAGCTCCAGAAGGAATGCTTCTGCAAGAAAAACACCGGTTCACGCTGTCATCTGGGGTTTGCAATGGAGTCGTATGCGTGCACAAACATTCGCTTCTGTCCCCATTCTTAGGCAGAGCCCTGCCTGTGTCAGCCATAGTTGAGGAGCGTTTCCTCCCAACTTCTGTTGCATTTATCCATCCTGAGCCGTGCAAGCGATGGCGCTGCCCACAGCAGTTTGCCAGCTCTGCCTCAGGCTCCTGCCCACTTTCTGCAGGCTTGATTAACCTGCTGGCCTTGCCACCTTACTGTGCTCAGAGCCCCTCTGCTGGCCTTTTACCCTGATGAAAAGTGGTTGTTGCTGAGCCTGTCGAGTCAAACTGTAAAGCAGCTGGACAGAAAACTTTGAAACAGACTTGGAAATACAGGAGTGCTGCCAGAACAGCTGTGTTAAAGAAAATTACTCCTCATTTAGAAAGAGATTCAACTTGGAAGTGTTTTTGGTTTGGGCTTTTTTGCCTTCTTTTTTCACCTCGTGTGCTGCAAGCGTGAGATGAGAGTTGTGTTAATGATAGGTGTGCTGGTTAAAAATACTTTGCTCTGCTCCAGTGTCTGTAATAACTGCAGCAGTATCTGAAGTTAGACTTTGCTTAATCAATATTCTCAAGGTGATGAAAATCATCTGTCCAAGAGGTTCGGATGAATACAGCTGCTTTCTCATGACTGTAGCTGACTGTAAAGATGTACTTCTGTATCTTTAGAGTTTGTTCAGGATGGTTTGTTATCAGGCACTCTTCGTTGCGCTAAACAGTGTTTTTTTAAACAACATGTTTAGCCATCACACCTTGATCATCTGGAAAGAAAAGCTGGATATTCTAACTGTAGATACTGCATTTTGTTTCCCTGGTATAATCATGGAGGTTCAAAAAGGAAAAATAGTATAAGTAAATATATACACAGTGTATTTTCCTTTCCTTTCAGTTCATATCCGTGGGAAAGTGCTATGAGAAATACAAGCAGGCTTTTAGGGGGGTATTTTTTCAATTGATCGGTGTGTGTGACCCCTGTGTTAACAGTGAGTCACATTGTAAGTCAAAAGTTCACTGTATTTTTGTCTTTCCCACTGCAATTAAGTACATTCCACACGCACACCCAAATAAAATTGGGAAAAACTTGCCAGTTGATAAAGAAATCTTGATAATATTGTAGCAGGATGAGTCAGCTGGTGGGATATTCAATGCCAAATACCAAAAAACAATGCAGAAATTCAAGAAAGCTTCTAAGTCCTAGAGGCAGTCCAGGGAAAATGAGACAGCTGGACTCACACAAAATCTAAGAAAGGGGTGAGAGAGGAGAACCTGCCTATTTTAGATATATATGTAAAATCACATTTTTATGTCCTTAATACTGCCATTGCAACATGTTCTAGGAAAGAATTAAAGCTTGAAAAGATTTTTTAAATACTTGGAGAACACATTCCCCTTTTTTTCTGGTTCCCTTTTATCTTGCCCTTCCCCGCAGTTTTAAGTTTTGTTTTGCATCTCACTGAGTTTTGGCGACATAAAGAGTCAGACTGGTTAACCCCTGCTTCGTGCCAGTTTTGCTTTTCCCTTCTTATGCTTTAGTTGCAGTGTTGGAGGGCAGCATGTCAGTCCAAAGCTATTTGTATATATTAACGAGCATTTCTGCTGACATTACTGAGACCGTAATTAACATAACATTATGCTAGATTAGCACTACGCTAAATAAAGGCAACCTTTCACCCCATTTTCTTTTTTAAACCTAAAAATCTTTTTTATGTCTAAACAACTATATGATGTTATGACACGTAGTTAGCCTTAGTATTTTTTAGTAGACCTCACAAAATTGTAACATTTAACTGCAGTTGGACCACTCATGGGTGCTGCATAACGGTAAGTGTAGAAGCGCTGTATTGAAGCAAAGTCTGAGTAAAAAGTTGTTTGGCTTGGAAAATGTAACCATAATCAATATAATTCAGTCATCGGGCTCGTACCTTAACCATTGGACTTGTGTGTTACTTTGCAGAGGGAGTCTAAACCAGAAAAGGTAGTGACAGGTGTTATACTATACAGTATTTTACATATCTAAGTGCATGTTTATTTTTCTTCTAGCTTTTTAGAAAGAATTGACAGTGTCAGCATGGATGACTACACGCCTACAGATCAGGTTAGTGCAACTAATGGGATAGGGTCTGAACCAAGACGCCCATTCGTATGAATTCTTTGCGTAATTTATTTTAGTCCCAGCAGGAGCTGGAAATAGGACATACAACATAATACCAAAATACAGTCTAGCAATTTAATGGGTATTAAAGAAAAGGCTTTTCAGTGGTGCAAGCTTGTCTTTTACTGTTATTGTATGTAGGACGGTGATTCCTGTAATATGTCTGTTATTTCTTCTTGCCTTCCATTCTGTGTCTTGCAAACAAACCAAAGGGAACAGAAAATGTAAATGTAGAAGCCTATGGTTTCTATCACCAGCCTTCACTCCACAGAAGCAGTGTTTTATTTCAATAGAGGGGGTGATGGAAACCCAGAGGAAGACTTCCCTTGTCCATCAGCCGGGTCCTTGAGAGAGAAGGCTGCAGTGAGTCCAGTGGCCACATTCAAGGGAGAGCTCCAGTGGCATCAACGGACTTTGTGGACTTCTCTGTGGGCATGCAAACACCTTCTTTCCAGTCTGCGCCTGTCTCCTGTGGGCAGGATAGTTTCTATTTAAGCCTTATTTGCAGGACAGTACACTTTTTTCCCAGATGTCGTGATGCACCTTGGCAGAGTGCTCTAATGACAAACTTACTCAGGAAAGTTAAGGCTGAATTGGTGCAGCCTTGAAGTAAGAAAGGGCTTCACCATGGTGCACAGCTTCGACTGCCTTCCCTGAGCTCCGGCTGTGTGGTTTCCTTGGCAGGTCGTCTCTTTGGCAAACTTATTCAGAGGTTGTTATTTTTCAGTGCTGGTATCTCACTATCATCTAGTAGTCTCAGCCAAGATTGTGGGCCATGCCATAAACTGCAAATACAGGTGGCAGAAGAGAATCCCTGCACTGGATAATTCAGTCTAACCACGCAAGGTGTATAACAGGTGGATGTCCTTAAAAAAATACAATTGCCAAATCTCACTGCGTGATCAGAGACTGAAATTCAGAGAAATGAAGTGACTTACCAGAAATAACACATCGAAGCATGCGGGGCAGAGCTGGGTCCTTCAGACCTAGTTCAAGTCTATAACCACAAGCCTGTCCAATTACTCTGACCATATCCTGAAATAGAAGGCGGTAAGAAGTAGTATGCGTTGTGTTAGAAGGTGAAACTTGTATAGTCGACTCAATATAGGATCAGTTATTAAATCTCTCAAGACATTTTCAGACCAAAGCAATAGCACTAGGATTTACTCCATCTAGACCTCATGGTCTGATTTTAGCATCGATACTACTCAGCTGGAGAGAGAAGTCAATGAAGCAAAGCCTCATTTCTGCTTTCATTATTTACGTTAATGTTGGCCTTTTTGCTCCTGGGAGGCCTTTCTCTACCTGGAGCAGTCATTCATCATCTAGAAATGTTTCTTGATCTTTCCTTTGGGAAGAAATGCCGTGTCTCCAAAGATCAGAAGAGGCATTTGGTATTTGGCAGACGGAAAACTTTTGCCCTAAAGGAGGGATTCTCTTTTGCTTTTGACTTTTCATCTTGTCATGCTGTATC